TGTGATTGGGAAATGGGATGATGTCAGTGTAACAAGTTGTGTTGGTTCATATGCGATTCTTCGTAGCTTGTTAATATTTTGCAGCAGTCATAGGTAAACACTTTCACAAGGAAAGAGAAAGACTCAATGATGTATGACGACCTTAGAAAAAAAAAGCTGGAAATGTGCTCAACTCAACTGCCCTCCTTTAATGTGAGTAGTGGCTGTTATTAGTGGCTTTAAGAATCACTATGCTCTCCACTATATTAACCTGCATGGTGAAACCACAAGAACAGGTGAAGACCTGGTGAAAATATGTCTCCCTACACAGATGAATGAAGGAGCCACCCCCTGCACCAGATCTCATTTTGATGAAAATGGTCTCTATCAGAAGCAAATGCGGAGTGTGATCTACAGAGAGAAGGAAGCACACGCTCTATTTGAAGACTGCAAAGGAAGACGTGCTAAGGGCAAACACCAGCCAGTGGAGATTCAACTGAGCTGTATTTTTAGTAGATTTGGTTTTGGTTTTGTTATGTTCCGGTTACAAAGTTCGATAGCTTTTCAGTGGTCTTTCTCAATCTGGTTCTTTCCATTAACTCCGTTATTTTTAGCACATGATTTTGCAGAATGCAAGGTGCATGTAGAGTTGGCCCCCCGTACCTGTGGGTTCTGCATCTATGGATTCAGCCAACCATGGATCAAAAATATTTAGGGAAAAAATGGATAGTTGCACCCGTATTGAACATATACAGACTTTTTTGTCATTCCCTAAACAATACAGTATAACAACTATTTACAGTGCATTAGGTGTTATAAGTAGTCTAGAGAAGATTTAAAGTACACAGGAGGATGTGAATAGGAGGACTAGGGCAGGGACAGCTGTATGGGGCTATAGTGGAGATGCCTGTGTGCATCATTGCAGCAGAGTCTACTTTTAATTAAATTTCTTCAAACAAAACTAAAATTATTCTATTATTATTTATTTTACTTCATTTATTTTATTTCATTTGAAATGAAATGAAGGTAGTATTTTCTTATGTATGTTATGCAGACATACACATAATCACATGTATATACACATATGTATATATGAAGGGATGAATGCATATCAATCCCAAAAGAAAGAAATCACACATCTTAAAAATATGTCATCCTTGGGGAAATATAAATAAACTGAATGTTGTCACAGAAGGAACCGTCAAGTCCATTTCAATACGTTTCAACTTGGTCACTACCGACCTATCTCTGTAGACACATAGCGTTCTCTGTGAACGTGTCTGCCAGCTAAGTAGAGACCTCCTCCACGACGTCAGCTAATCACAGGGGATGCGTGTAAAGCCATTCAACAGTAAGAAAGCCACATGATTGAAGTTTAAATGCATTCAATCCTTCTAATGAAGAACAGTCTGGTTCTCTGACAAGGGACTCAGCCACACTTCCTTCCAGAGGGAGAACCAAGCCACCCCTACACAAGGTTTCACCACCACCAAGAGAACATAAGCTTAGAAAAGAGACTAGAGAGTAACACTCAACATAAGGCTAACAAAGGCCACCCAAGGTACCTTGTATGTTCTGTTCACTGACTCAGTCACTAAGTAATTGAATGTGCAATAAGGTAGGGAACCAGAGATAAACAAGACAAGAAAACTGGGTTCCTACGCTACTGACTATTTCTTCCTGACACCCAAACATCTTTGCAAAGGATTGACTAGAATCCTGGGTTTGGAAACTCTAACACCTCCTGGAGCCAAAACAATAATGTAAGAATGAAGAAGAATGAGTGTATAGTAATAGGGAACATTGGGGACAGTGACAAACTGCATATCCTAGGCTCCACCTAAAAGTATTCAAATCCATTGTTCTTGGTGTTGGTGGGATAGTGGTGAGCATAGCTGTCCTCTAAATCCATTGTTCTTATCTACCACTGAAGCAAGGCAAAATTCATACACAGTCTAGACCTGGCTCACAGGCCGTCACTCATGGCCCCTGTGTTCAGCAGGATGTAGACCAGAGAATCTGGATAAGGAGTTTCACTTTGCAGTCTGACTCTAAGACATCAACCAATATTTAAAATCACCTATAGGCAACGGCTATAATGCACCAGAAGATGATGAGAACTCTTGAGAAACAAAGCAGAACAATCTACCAAGATCCAAAATTTTGGAACCTAACCCTGATTCCATATTTCTTCATCATGGTTGAAGAGTGCCATTACATAAACAAAGTTTTTGTTTTCTGGTGTCTTTAAAAATCAGCACTTCTTCCTACAAAATGCTATTTGGGGAAGGTTCACTCTCAAAGAGAAGATGAAGAATCTCTACAATCCAAATCACATCTTTATCATAAAGGGTCAAAGATAATGTCAGCAGACACACAGGTGAAATGTATCAATTACAAATGTAAGGATTCTTAGCCAATTCAGAATGTGGTTTCTTGCTTAGAGGTTATGAGAAGCCATTTTATGTACACTTTAATATAATATTTAATTAAGATAATACCATAATTTAGAATGAGATCTGATATTTTTTGCTTTCAAGGTCAATGTACTGGATATTTCAAAATTTTTTCATCCATCAACATTCTATTTTTTTACCCATGCAATGATTTCACAGTCAGAAATATATAAGCTAATGTACACTTAGCACTTAATTGTTTTTAAAGCTAAATTTGAACAATAAATTAAATTCCTCAGTATGTGTGTTATGAAATGTAGACATAGGCTATAAAATGTTGACATTGGTTATATTCTAGTAATGCAATTTAGCCCTTTTAGTAATGACTATGCAAATAATCAGCTACAGGAAAACCATTTTACATCTAGTACAATTACCTACTATCACACAGAAGTAATTATTATTATTGTCCTGCTTATTGAACTTCAATAAAAACTCTTGAGGTGCTAAGATAGTTCCAAAGCCGTTGTGAAAACTCTCCTCTTAACAGACTCCTCTGGCAACCATAATTACCAGCGTTAAGGAGGGCAGCTGCAGATGAACATTAAACAAGAAATTATCCCCAGAAGGTTCATAAGTTACAAACTTTAAATGGCGAAATACTGACAGCTCCTAATACGTTCTCTTAACATCTTCAAGATGCAACTTTTCACTCAGACAAGGTCGACAGCTCTAAAATGACTCCATGTCAATAGGCAGAAAACTCCATGATCCCAATGAGATCAGTTTTGCCCCTGAACAATATCTACTTTTGGCCAATGTCCGGATAGTGCTGGTTATACTTCAGGAAGCTCAATCGCACCTTCCATTTCACTGTGCTTCAACTTTTTGTTTCAGGAGTTGCTCCGCCATCTTGAAACAGCCCAAGGTGCTTGGGTGATCCACTGGCCACATCTGCCAAAGTTCTTCACTAGGACTCTATCCAACTTCATCTTCTCTGTTAACAAAGAGATGAGGAAGGTGGTATGGTAGAGAAGAGGGCAGTTTGTACCATTCTGTCAAGGAACACTAAGATTGCCCAACCACCCCACCTGAGCCTGCTGGCTAGCGGTCCATGACTGGGCCTCAGCAAGTCCAGAATCATCTGCAAGACCCTGGTCACGCAGGAGGCCAAGATGCTAGCTTGTCTGTTTTCCAGTCTTCTTTCACACCGCCAGCAAATCCACCATCTGAAAAAGCTTCAGTTAGTTGCCCACTAGGGCCCAGAGGAAAAAGCTTCTTGTGGGGGAATCACCTCTGCAGTCTCTTGTGAGTAGATCACTCTGCAATCGCTGACCCAAATAGCTAATTCCACCCCTTCTGGGTGCTCATCTCAATTTAGCCCAAAGCCTTGAGAACCAGCGGTAGTGTTAACCAATTTATGTTCAAGGGAGTCCAGTTCCAGGCTGGCCCCAGGCTGGTTTCTCCGAGGATCAACAGGCCTGGTTGAAGACGGCTGGTCTCTTAGCTTCTCTATCCTGAATCTTGTCTTCGGGGCCCACACCTCTTGGCGGGCATTCTCCCCAGGGAGTGGTGGTTGTTTCTTCACTCGTCAGGAATCCAAACCAGGAACAGTTGTGTCCTGGGCTAGCTAAGCCCTCGCTCCCCAGAGATATGGGTGTTTCTTCAATGTTTGGAAGATGCCAGACTCATGCCTTCCTTCACCACTTTTGGGACAGTATCAAAGTAGCCAAGGCTGGCCACTACCTGTGGGGACCTAGAGACAGCTATCCGCTGAGGGTGACGCGGAGTGTTGGGAGCAGGTCTCACATGCGATGTCCTCTAGGAACGTGTTACCACCCACCTCCGACTTCCATGTTCTAGTCCCTTCCACCAAAGGCCCTCTGCAGCGCCCCCTTTCGCCCCCAGTCAGCCTGACACCCACAAGGACCGCCCCCACGCCCCAGCCCGGAGGGCTTCCGAGCCCGTGGCTGGGGCAGCAGGTGGGGGGAGGGGGAAGGGGCCCGGTGGCCCCGGGGAGCGGTTTGGCCGGCGTCTCCCACACCCCCATCCAGACGCCCCCTCCGCAGCCCCCCAGGACCCAGCCTCGCCCCTACCGGGCTCCGCTCGGATCGCCCGCGCCCCTCCTCTCCCGCGCCCCC